TGAGCAACTGGAGATTAGGACTTCAACACCGGCGTTTGGGAGGGGCACAGTTCAACCTATAAAAGTGACCTTGATTGTGAGGGCAGAAGCCAAGTGAGAGGATTGGGGAGTGGAGTTTGGGAATCTTTGAGGAGTCCAGCGAAGCGAGGAGGAAGAGTGAGACGATGAGCAGGGCAGAGCGAGGGTGTGAACCAAGGAGTGCAGGAGCAGGGCCTGAGCACTCACACGTGTGCACGTGTGTACTCATGGCACACATGCACACTTGGACCATGCGAGCCCTTGCCTGTCTTGGTTGGCTTGCTAGTGCTTCTCTCCCTGGCATGAGTGCTCCTGGTCCTAGGCTGAGGAAGCCATCTTCCTCATCTACTTAGTCGAGGCTATGGGAAGTACTTAGTACAGGAGGTTGGATGGCAAGGGTGGCATCCCTGTCATCTTGTGCTCAGAGCCAGTCAGGTACTCATCTTGGGTGACAGAAGAACAAAACACCAGCTCTTCGATAAGGTCGACTGGAGAAGGCTGCTTACCATGTTTCTTTACATCTAAGATGCCATTGAGTATGAGATGTACCACCAAGATAGAAACATCACAGCCAATTAAACTGTGTTGTGCCATCTGATTGGAAGGTGCAATCCCATTTCAGAGATGTTAAAATGTGTAAAACGTACATCTAATAAATGAGATGTAGTGCACTGGGGAGAAAGTGTTTCCCATCATCCCCCTGAGCTAGACCCACCTAGTCCCAGGCTGAGCCAGATTGGGCAGGCCTCCCCTGCAGGGTCAGAGCTGCCCACTCAGCTCTCTGCAAGTGACACCAGGGTGCACCTTCCTTGTGGGCAGGCAGAGCTGTGAGGGAAGCCAGACAGCACCGATCCAAGCAGGCCATTCATTCTGTCCCCCAGTTCCCAAGGAGAGTGAATGAGGAGGGGGTCAGAGATGTTAACAGCATTGCTGTGCTAAAGTTCGTCCTAGGAGAGGCTGCAGCCAGGGAACTCAGGACTCAACATTAGCACAGTGCTTGGCACACAGGAAGTGCCCACTTATTAGCTTTACTATTATTATTACCTACCTGGCGTGGGGCACCAGGGAGATGTACAACTGGTCAGAATTGAACTTCTCTGGGCAGTCAGTCTTCTCTTCTGGTTTGACAAGCTATTTGCCAACTCAATGCACATGTGCCAGGCATTTACTTGGTGGCCAGTGCTGCCAAGTTGAGGCCTCACTGCTTAAGGGGGGAGTCAGTTAAGAGTACGAAAGTCGTGGCAATAGGGAATGTTGTGGGGTCCCTGGTGGGAGTGGTCTCTCAAGGAACAGTGAGTAGCAAGTTCACTGCCTTGGTGACTAGGGCCTGTGCTCTGGACTTCAGAAGGCATCCCAGCTCTTAGTGTCACTCCCACCCAGCCTGCTACTCAGGATGTGAGTGAACTCCTTACCATGCAGCACCTCTTTAAATCTTTGCATTCTTTGTCATTTAAACTGAAGTGTCTGCCAGTATCTTGAAAAACCCGGCTAATCTCCTCAGGATACTTCCCGGCCCATTTTACTAGCTGGGGTCCCTGGGGTCTTGGGGCAATGAGAAGCCAGAAATGACTTTTTAATGCCTATTGGCATCTTGGGAAATTATGGGTATCTCAAGTCTAGCTCTAAGGAAAATGTGCTGACTGAAACTACTTGTGAAGGGTGAGAGGAAAACAAAAACCCGAACCGAACTTGTCTCCCCATGGCAACACCTTCCATCCCCTTCCCACCTGGGCTTCACCTTGACTCTTTCTCATCCCTCCACCCCCACAGCACTCCTTGACTCTCACCCGGGGCCTTGTGAAGAGTTAAGACGAGGATTGCCAGGGTGACCGTGGCATCCAATTGCGAGATTGTGTCCTTGGAAATTGTCACCTGTCTCCATTCTGATGTTCTGGCATGTGGCATGCAGTGTGTGCTGTGGGCACTGGGAATTTGCAGGTGGAGCTGAGCTCTTCCTGGTATCTTGGTGCCAAGGTGTGTTTGTCCTGCACCATCTCCACCAACCAAGGATCAGAACACAACTACATAGATCCTAATACAAACTAACTAAGGAAAGACGATGGCAAAGTGTAGAAGGCAAGTTGTACAAGTGGGGAGAGGGTTGGGAAACTTGATGGGTAAGGTGACGTGTGAAGGGATGAGAAAAATACTAAAGAAACACTTTATCCTGAAAAGGGAGATGGTACCGTAGCCAAAGCAGATTGGCTCCGAGTTTCCATTTAGTGGGAAGCTCTATGTAGGTACCCCCCAAATCTGATTTAATCTTCTCTCAATAGTGCCTCCCAGATCTTTCCATCTCTGAAGCCACAAGAAGCATCTACTATAAGTCTTGAGCTTCTGTGTCATGCTGAGTTTTAGGAATGGGTCAACAACTACCATACAGTGTAAAATTGGAAAAGGAAAACAGACTTATGAGTATGTATGCATGTAGACACTGAGACATCCTTTGTTTTTCAGTGGTGGGGGTAAGCCCCACATTGGTAGGTGAACTCATCTTCATGGGTGGGGATGGGGGATATGAATTCCTCTGGACAAAAGGCATGTCAGATGCTTTGAAAAAAGGATGCTTAGGTGACGTCTTGGTCTTTCTCTCACACACACACGAATTAGCTCTTCATGAGAAATTTAACTGAACTCTCATAAGGCAATACATTTGTAATCCTCTCAACAGGAAGTCCCAAGTAGGACTTTTGGGAATATCAGGGGCCCTGTGGGGCAAAGGATGAACCTACTGTTTATTGCAGCTCTGGGTTTCCTTGAAACTGCCTCAGGAATCCTGGGGAAGGACTCCAGGCCCCCATCCTCCCTTTAGCCTAGAGCACCTCTTTTATATGCTTCCTATCCACTGCAGACAATACACACTAAGTTGCCCACTGAGATGAGGTAGATCATGTCAAGGGAAGAAGTAATCTCTCAGGGATTGCTTTGAAAAAGAAAAGTGTTCGGCCAAGGAAAGCTGCTATTCAGATCCAGTTGATTGTTGGCCTGTTACCAGATCTTATTTTTGGAGGCTACCAATTTTTGTACAATTCCCCATTAGAAAAAAATATATATATATTTTTTGATCTCCCAATTTCTAAATGGTTAGGAATGAATTTGAAAAATGAAACCAAATCAAACAAACCCCAAACCAACACAAACGAAGGTGAAAATACATCTGTGGGCTGGCAGTAAGATTTAAAATTTCTTTGTCTCAATCCTGTGACATAGTTCAACTTGTGTTTAAAAATTCTAGAATGGGGAACTCTCTATCTTCTAAGTCAGCCCATTAAATGCAATGAAGGACTACATTTCAGTCCTAGGCGTTGATTAGGTCTCTGATACATACCATGCATTTTTTACAACTGGGCTCATTCAGGTAGCGATGCAGAAGTGAACCAGTGTGAGCCTGGCTCTGGGTAAAGCGTGTTGGACCCTAAGTGTTTCCTTGGTGGCAGACTCTTCTTAACACTGCACCAGAGGATGAAGGAAAACGAAGCTTTGGTGTCTTGTAGTCTGGGTTACTTACATGCAGTGAATAACCTTTCTTCCAAATGCTGTCACCGCCAAGGGCTGCTTCTTCATATACTCAATGCCCAGTAACCAGCTAAGTATGACCCCGGGTTGTCTTCTTCCAGGCAGAACCCTTTTCCATCATGAGCTCCATGTTGATCATTTTCAGCAGAGTTCTAGGAGGGCTAGATCTGCCAGGGCCCAGGAACTCTGGGAAGTGAGAAGCACCACCACTGAACTATCCTTGCCCCTGCTTTGTTCCTGGCCAACGAAACTTCACTATGCCAAGAAACTACAAGGGCACTAGAGTTTGTCCTCCCAGAGGTAAATTTCTAGCTCACAAAACGCAGGTGTTGGGGGCAACTTTCTGGGGGCTGAGGTTACCAACGCCCTGGATCTTGGGTAGAAGCCCCCACTTTCAAATATTAGAGAGATTCTGCCTGAAGTAAAGGTTTTCATGACTCAGGAAAGCAGCCATCCAAAGACCATCCAAAGATTGGTTTGCCAATCGCTTCAGCTCCACAACAGCATCTCTAGTCCATGGAGCACAGCTTAGAAAGGACAAGCAGGCTAGATACTGATTACTAAACAAAACGAGAATTTATTGAAAGCAGGTACTTTTCAGTAGTTCTGATTTGAACAAATCAGCTTAGAGATACCAAGATATTATTACTCAGAATAAAAATATGTACAAAAAGTAGGGAAAGGAGAATAAAACAACTTAAAAGAATTCAGCTTGAACAGGATTGAATTACTAAAAATAATACCTAATACAACAAGCCTGGGGCGAGGACTCTGGTTCCCCAGTTCTTGAAACATAGCCCATAAATCTGTGGGAAGCCAGAAGAGGCTGGCTGGAGCATGAGGATCTCACTGCTGACTCCACGTAATGAGTCCATGGTCAAGGCACAAGCTAAACACAGAGAACAAGGCCATCAGACAAGGCACACCCCCGCCCCCTGCCATGAACCTCCTAAGAAGAGAAGAGTCTATAGACTTGGCAGGGATCACTGGACCATGGACAGCTTAGAGACAGGTATTCCAGCCACATAAAAACCCTAAAATCTAAGCCTTACAATGCCCTCATCCAAATTCCCACTAACTAGGGAGGTAGAGGAGTAAGACAAACCAATTTCTGGTCTTCAGGGATAAACGTACAATGCTGTTCCACAGGCTCAAAAGAACTATTGGCACAGCAGGTGAGATTCCAAAGTCCCACTCAGCAGCCCCCACGGAAGGAGGAGTGGTGGGCGTGGGAGAGGAGATATGCAAGCTCTGTTGATGTGTACAGTCCCCCCACTTTCCGGACCTGTTCTCTCTGGGCCCAGAGCTCTCATTTCTGAGCCGAAACCTCCCAGCCTTAAGTATACAGAGTGGAAACACCAGATGGAGAGAGTTGTCTGAGGACGGAGGGTAGGCAATCTTTCTGAGAATGGGGGGGTTCTTCCACATCTCCTCGGGTGCAGGTAGGGCAGGACAAAGTTGATGCCGAGTTACAGGAGGCAGGCAGCAGCTCGGAGAGCAGGAGAATTCAGCTGGGAGAATGACAGGAAGTTTCCACTGCATGAACACAGCAGGCAGTGGCTGGGGTCACCTGGGTTGGGAGGTTGAACAGTAAAGCTTTACCTAAATGGTATAGGAACAGTGTGCCTCCCTGCTCTTGAATTCCCCAGGAGGAACACAGCCCCCTACTCTTGAAATTCATACTCAAACAAAACACTAAGCCTGAAGGGAAGATGTCTCTTCAGGGTCCCAGAAGTGCCCATTCAAAGTCTATTCCATCAATGTTGGCTTCTCATTTTTGGGCCCGTATGTTGTTGCAGACTTGAGCAAGACGGCTCTAAAAAGAAAAGGGGATGGGTCATTTAGAGAAGATGCCGCTTGGTATGCATGCCTGGTGAGCCACTCATAGCCTGCCTGCCCACAGCTCTGAGTGGATCTCAGTCCCTTCCTTCTCTATTTGTATCATACACGAATTCACTTTTCTGAAGTACATTTATCTAACTGAACAAAAGAGTAAAATAAGACCTCAAATGAGACAGTGAAGGTATTGCATAAGACAATTGGGAACAGCAATGCTATAGATCCAGTTAGAGGATGATAGTCACAAGATTTGCGTGGCTGGGTGTGTGTAGGATCTTAGCACTGGGTCTACATTCAGGAGGACGTTGTGTGGGAAACCAGCTCTGCCTTGTCCACTTCCTTGGATGTATCATTCATGGACCCCACACAAGAGTGGGTCTAAGGCAAGCCATGTTTGCACTAAGTGCTCCATCCACCATCCAAGACCATGGCTGATTGGACCAAGGAGGTTCATCCCTGGGTGAGCCAATTAAATTCTTCCTCTTGAGAATTTAAACTAACACAAGAAACTGAACAGTGTTGGGCACTGGAGCAATATGTTAGAGGCGTGGCTATCCAAAGTCACATGCCAATCAATGTTAAGGAGAGCAGAACACAGGCCTCAGAGACAGAGAGATGTGGAGTCAGTGCACCAGAGTAAAGGTCTGTGAACTTCCATGGCTAATGGGCCCCACCACTCTGGAGGCCTGGCTGTTTAGCTCTCTCCTCAATTCTGTAAGTATCCTGATAACAAGCCCCTCCCCTCATTCTTGAACGATTGTAGGAAGTTTCAGTTCCTGGCGGTCAGTGGTACACCAACATACCCTGGCACTAACTGCCTGAATGAGGCAGAACTATATGTTGTGCAATTTCTGTGACAGGCACCCTGGGATAGACCAAAACTCACCATCAACTGAAGACCAGAATCCCTGCTATCTAAGTAGGATAATAGTCTAAATCCCATGAGGAAAAGAAGGCAACACAATTTTAAGTATAAAATATTAGCCCAGACCCAAAATACAATCCTAAACAAAGCTAAACCAAGAAAGCTATTGAAGGCATCCTATGTATGGAGATGAAGGCACACTTACGGAGAGCTTCTTAATGTTTCCCAAGGCCTCTGGATCCAGTTGTGTGATATTGAGCCTCTGCAAGTCACTGGCCAATAATCGCATACTCTGTGCAGAGGGGAGAGGGAATTAAACTGGTATATCCCATGGGGCAGGAACCCCTATCCAGCAGCTCAGCATGCCCCAGGGGGTCCCCTTGATATCCTGCCCTTGATGGCAGGGAATGGCTGGGATGCAGAAGTGGTGAGGCAGGCAGGAAGGGCATTAGCCCTAAGGAGACAATGACATCATCAGTGCTATCACTTGGTGGCTGGATCATCCAGGCACAAGGGCACACACATTAGCTTAGAAATGCCCTACAAACCACATCTGAGACAAGTCATCCTCTCCTCACAGGGACTGAGGTCGGCAACTTGCTCTGGATAGTCCAGAGAAACTGAGCCAGCCTGCTTCAGAATCCCTCAATTATACAAAGTTGAAGGCACAGCTCATGCTCCCCTTTCTAGATGAATTGCATACTCCAGCAGTGCCTTTCTCTGCACTCCCTCTAATATCTCCATTATTACACTTCTCACAGATATTATGACTGTGAACCCGTCCTGACCACTGAACTGCTTCTCAAGGACAGGGACCGTGTCTTCTACATCTTGGGCCTGCTACGATCAGGTGGGCAAACATTAGCTGACGAACAGATAGAGCCTAGAGTGGGGCAAGCATCTTCCCAGTCTGGGTTTCTAACCTGGGAGAGAAAACTAGGTTCTGAGTCCTGCAGACGTGCAGAGTGATGCACTTAGAGGACTCTGAGGGAGAGAAACAGGTGATGGCTCAGGGAGAAGAAATGCCTGATTAAGCGGCACACTGTGGCCTGGCTTCCCTTGGAAACACTTTACCTCTCCACCGCCCACTGGCACAGTGATAAAGACCTCTTTGCTGTCAGCAAGAGGGCTGCCATTCCCTGAGATGCTGTAAATCCGCTCTCCTGTGGCTGGAGTACGCAGGCCAGGGGTCTTGAAGATCCTATAGAGTGGGAACAAGCTCCGTGAAGATGGCTGGGCAGATTGAGTGACACTAGGCTCTATGAGCCCCTCCAACCCCCATCTGGCCTCAAGCTGCAGTTTTCAAATCACACATTTCTAAGAAGGCGAGTTCTAAATTTAGAAAAAAAAATTTAAGCAGTAATGACTAAACACAGCTGGAGAAAGGAGGTTGTAATTATTGAGCATATATCTTGCAGAAGTCAACTCTTATCCACGTAAAGTTTAGGTCCAAAGCTCCGTATGGGTGCCAGTCATCCATCCATCCACAAAGCCAGAAATAAACTGGTTGGTGTGTTTCCAGGAGTGGCTATTTCCATCAAGAGGAATTTTTTAATGATTCAGAGATTGCATCATTATACTAATCACCAAACTTTCTTAAGATAGTTAAAATGCTGCTACCTAGTTTTCTCTAAATGTTTTTTGTTACATGTTCATGTAGAAAAACAAACAGTAAAGAAACGTGGAATTAAAAGTAGAAAAAAATCTTCTACACTCCTCCTATACCAGAGATAACACCTTGCTCCACTCCCCAGGGGTAACCACTGTGAATTCCTTATCTATCCTTCCAGAAACTTTCCATGCATAAAAAGCAAATAGGCTCACAGAGTACAGTGTTTAGCAACCTGCAGGGAGATGCTGTGGTCATGAAGCTCCCTCTCAGCAGCACACACAGGTAGTCTAGCTTAATGGCTATGCAGCACTTTCTATTAGGTCAGCTAGTCCCTATGGAAGGTGTTAACTCATGCTTCAAGAACATCCGTGTTTATGATGGCCTCTAAAAGGGCAGTATCAATTTTCACTTGTACCAAGGGTACAGGAAAAAACTTCTGATCTGAATTAGAAATAGCCAAAAAAGTCATATAGAGGACTCCTGGTCACTACAGCCAGGATATTCACCTCCCTCTCATCAGATAAAGAATTATTTTGCCACTGAAAATGGATAAACCTACATTCAGGGAAGAAGCAAACTTTGGAAAGCCCAGATAGCTACTGTCTTCAAACAAGGCGTCCAGGCCAAGGACTTGAAAATTCAAGGGAATTTTCTTAGACACTCCTTTTTCTCTGAGTCATGTTCAGTGATGGGTTCCCACCAAATTCAAGCACTCCTCTAAATACTCACCTCGAGTCAAATCTGGGTGTCAGGCCTGGAGTTGGTTTCACCAGAGATACTTCCAAGCGGCCCACAGCTGGGGTAACCATGTTACTTCGGCTTGACCTACTGGTAAGAAATAGCCATCAGGTACTCCACTCTCAGATCCACTGACAGCAGCAGAGGCAGTGACATATGGAGAGGACTAACTGTCAGATACTGATCTGGGCACCTTGCAAACATCAACTCATGCAACCCTCCTAACAACCCTAGGAGGTGAGCACTATTACCATTCTCATTTACAGATAGAGAAACTCAGGTTTTGAGTTTTTTTGTTATTTATTTATTTATTTTTTTGAGTTGGAGTCTCACTCTGTCGCCCAAACTGGAGTGCAGTGGCCACTCCTGGCCACCGCAGCCTCGACCTGCTGGGCTCCGGCGATCCTTCCGCCTCAGCCTTCCAAGTAGCTGGAACTACAGGCGTGCGCTACCGTGCCCCGCTAATTTTTGATTTATTATAGAGATGAGGTCTCGCTGCCCAGGCGGGTCTCGAACCCGCGGGCTCAGGCAATCCACTCACCTCAGCCACCCAAAGGTGCGGGATTACAGGCTGAGCCACCGAGCCCGGCTTAATTTTTGATTTATTGTAGAGATGAGGTCTCACCAAGTTGCCCAGGCAGGTCTTGAACCTGCGGGCTCAGGTTATCCACTCACCTCAGCCTCCCAAGGCGCGGGATTACAGACTGAGCCACCGAGCCTGGCCTTGTTTGTTATTTTTGAGGCAGGTTCTCACTCTGTCACCCAGGTTGGAGTAGAGAGGTGTGATCATATCTCACTGCAGCCTTGAATTCCTGGGTTCAGGAAATACTCCCACCTCACCCTCCCAAGTAGCTGGGACTACAGGTGCAAGCCACCATGACTGGCCAATTTTTAATCTTTTATAGAGATGGGGTCTTGATATGTTGTCTAGCTAGGCATAATGAGTTTTGAAAACATGCCTAAGATCACACAACCAATTAGGGTAGAGTCAGAACCCTGAATCTAAGCAGTCTGCCTCCAGAACCTGACTTTTCTATAAAGTTAATGGACCACAAGGAAGATGCTAGCCGGGAGTGGTAGCATGTGCCTGTAGTTCCAGCTACTTGGAAGGCTGAGGCGGAAGGATCGCCGGAGACCAGCAGGTCGAGGCTGCAGTGTCTGGGAGCGGCCACTGCACTCCAGTCTGGGCGATGCTAAAATCCATCTTAGCAATATAGCCTCTTAGCAATATAAAGGCTCTGCCAGCTGTAATTCCTGCCTGCCTGCTAGGCAGCTGGTTATTGTCTTGCTACACTGCTCAGGAAGAAATGAGTTCACTCCTTCAGACATGCACCCCAGTGACTACTTTCCTAAGCTGTCTCCCCTTCCCCCATACAGGAGAGTCCAGCATAATCAATTCTAGCCCACAGAGATTCTTTACTTAGCAGGATCAGACAGAACATTTCAGAAACTATTATAGGTAGCTGAAAGCCACCTTGTGACTATGGGGTAACTCTGCACGTGGACTGTATGTATGTAGAAGAATGTATGCAGAAGAACTGGAGAAGGCATTGGTGTAGACCATTCTAGAAGTTCCTCCAGCTCAGACACTTAAGGATTCAGTGATTTTTTTTGAGACAGGGTATCACTCTGTCACACATTCCTAGGGTGCAGTGGCATGATCCTGGCTTATCACAGCCTCAACCTCCTAAGCTCAAGGGATCCTCCCATCTCCTGAGTAGCTGGGGATACAGGTGTGTGCCACCAGGCCTGACTAATTTTATTTTTATTTTGTAGAGATGAGGTCTCACTATGTTGTTTAGGCTAATCTTGAGCTCCTGGGATCAAGCGATTCTCTTGCTTCAACCTCCCAAAGTACTGGAGTTACAAGTGTGGTCCCCTGCACCCAGCAGATTCATTGATTTTTAAGCTCCACACAAACACCAGCTACCAAAGCCCTTTCCATCCCACCCTGTTTTCTGCCATGATGTATAAGCCTCTGCAATAGAACAAAAAAACACACTTAACTTTAGAAAATCCATTACCTTTTCCTTTTGCCTTTTCCTTGTACAGACTGGGTTCTCTTCCTGGATGGAGGACACCTTTTGACCTGAAGTCACAATCAAGTGAAACAAAGTTACAAAAAGCCCAGCAAAGGGGAAAGGGTAAGAAAGGTTAAAAAATAATAATAATAAGGAGAAAAGGAGGGACCAGCTCTGGAAAAGAAAGTTAATACTGATTATAAGGTCTATCTCATAGAATTCAGTGACTGAAAAAAGTTCATTACTTTTCTAGGACATCTGGACTAGATAGAAATTTCAGCCCAGAGCTCAGAAGTAGGGGACTGACACACTGACTCCCAAATCTTTAGGGGCTTGTCCCAGTGTCGGCGTGGAGGCGATTGTGCCAGGAGAACGGGAAGGGAGGGAGACTGAGGATGGACGCTAGAGGGCAGGGAGAAAGGGGAGCTCTTGAGGCGGACTGCACAGCCAGAGAAGTAGGAAAGATGGATTGGTCCTGGGGCCATGGGAGGAGAGACTATCCAAAAGACAGGGAGTAATTTTTATTGGGGACCTCCCAGGACTCAAGAAAGGGAGGCCTGCAGGGGATGCCATGGATTGAATGGGCACCTCGGGAAGGGGAGAACTACCTCTTCTGAGTTCTATTATACAAGCACTTTGCACACAACACTTTTGCTCTTGGTCACTTAAAGTGGGCTTGTCTCTACTGAACTGTGAACTCTGGGTGGGCAACAATGTATTTCACGCATTTTTGTATTTGCCTGTCTTCTGCTCTGATCCCTCAGCTGCCAACTTGAGTGCCTACTCACTCTTGCAGTGCGAAGATTCTTATGGTTATTTTCTTCTTCCTCTTCCTCTTCCACTATCATTTCATCCACTTCTATTACTTTTCGTGCTACAAGAAACAGTTTTAACAATGTGATATTTCTGATGGCAACAACTTTCCTGCATTCACATTTCTTATAGGTTTAAAACTTATGTAATCTTAAACCACAATCACAAAATAGACTTGGCCAGGTACAGTGGTTCATGCCTGTAATCCCAGTACTTTGAGAGGCCAAGGTGGGAGAATCGCTTGACCCCAGGAGTTTGAGACCTGCCTGGGTAAAAGTGAGACCCTATCTCTATTTTAAAAAAAAAAAAAAAAAAAAAAAAAAAAAAAA